CAAAAACAAAACCAAGAAGAGATCAGCAGCTTAAACCGACATAACACATAAGAAAATTGAAACAGTAATATAAAACCTCCCGACTAAAAAAAGCCCAGGACCAGATGGATTTACAGCAGAATTCTATCAGATATTTAAAGAAGATTTACATCCAATACTACTAAATTTATTCAAAAAAATAATGGAGGGAGAACTTCTAAATTCCTTCTATGAAGCCAGCATCACCCTAATACCAAAGCCAGGTAAAGATACAACCAAAAAAGAAAACTATAGACCCATATCCTTAATGAACATAGATGCAAAAATTCTCCACAAGATACTTGCAAACCGCATACAGACACACATCAAAAAGATCATCCACAATGATAAAGTCGTCTTTATCCCAGAGATGTAGGGATGGTTCAATATATGTAATTCAATAAATCTCATAAATCATATAAATGGACTCAAAGACAAGAACCATATGGTCATCTCAATAGATGCAGAGAAGGCCTTTGACAAAATTCAACGTGCATTTGTGTTCAAAGTCCTAGAGGGAATTGGACTGGAGGGAACATACCTCAACATATTAAAGCCAAATATAGCAAACCCACAGCCAACATCATTCTAAATGGAGAGAAACTGGAAGCATTCTCATTGAAATCAAGAACCAGACAAGACTGTCCACTATCTCCACTTCTCTTTAACATAGTGCTTGAAACTCTTGCAAAAGCAGTAAAACAAGAGAAGGAAATTAAAGGAGTAATAATTGGAAGAGATCAAATTATCCCTTTTTGAAAATGATAATGATATTATATCTAAGGGACCTCAAAAATTCCACCTGAAAACTGCTAGAAATTCTTAACACATTAAGGAAAGTGGCAGGTTACAAAATTAACCTACAAAGGTCTATAGCCTTTCTATATACCATAACAAACAATCAGAGAAAGAGCACATGGAAACACTCCCCTTCACAGTAGCTGCAAATATATGTATATATATCAGAATAAACCTGACCAAAGACATTAAAGAG